TCCCCAAGATCCAGTCACCGGCCAAAAGCCCCACCTCTGAGCACATGAGAATTTTAGGGATCATTCTTGTCTACAGCATAACAACTCTCTTGCTTTTGTGTATGATTTTACCTATATGAAAGTGTCAGTTATTTATGGTTTGGTATTTGATTTAAATGGCATTGTAGGGCTGGGGATTTAGCTCAGTGGTGCTGCACTTGCCTCGCCAGTGTAAGGTCCTAAGTTTGAGTCCCAGAACCACCCCCGCAAGAAGGTATTATATTGTTGCTTTTATGAGTTTTTTTTCCAGTCATGTTTCTAAGATTCATCCATATTAATGCTCATTTAACTTATTCTTTTTCATTTCTGTAGAGCATTCCATTTATGAATCTATCACAATTTATGCTTAATTGATGGGCATTTGATTGTCTAAAGGTTTTTGCTACTACAAACAAAAGTGCTGTCATGCAAAAGAGTTTGATGCACTTTTTTTTTAGCTCAAGTTGTACGGTTTTGATGCACACTCTTCCGTGCAGATAAGAAATAGACTTTATTAGGGTAAAAAACTTACAGATTTAGGAGACCACACACATTTTTCAACTCTTGTTATACCACAGTTTAGGCCAAGCACATCTGTATGCACTTTTCACGGCCAATATTCAAGTACTGACTGTATTTCTGTATATTTAGGAACACTACACAATGCTCTAAACACCCACAGGAGCTTCATTAAAGGGAAGTCTTCAGAACTCATCATCTTGTATCAGCTGACCTAATTCAGACCTGCCAAGCCAGTTCTCTGCCAAGATTTTTTAAAAAGTGGGAAGGAACCTATGGCTCCATGCAGCTCTCTCCTCAGTACTAAGTATACATTTGTGCCTGTCTATTAAGACAACTGTGCAAGAGATTCTCTAGTCTAGAAGTGAGCTTTTTCAGTCTGGAATGTGTGAATCTTCAAATTTACAAGATAATGCCAACTTGTTTTCCAAAGTGGCCATTCAGATTTACATTATCATCAATATATAGTTTCTAATTGCTCTTGGAAGGTTTTTGGACATTCGTGTAAACTTAGAAAATCTTGTTCAATTCCTTTCTTAGATCCTTTTGGGATTCTGGTTGAAATTACTTTAAATGTACAAATTTATTTGGAGAGAATGGGTATTTTTAGGACATTGAGTCTCTTTATGAATATCATTTTAAAAAATAAATATGCCTTTTTATTATCTTTGAACAGGTTTTAGAATTTCCTCCATAAACATTTTACACATATAAACACATATTGTATGCCATTTGTTTCTAAGATGTACATATATATTTAGTTGTTATTGTAAATAGTATCTTCAAAAATTAATTTCATTTCTTTGTAGTACAACTGATTTAAGTTAATATCTAACACCCTTACTAAATAATCATTTCTAATAATTTACTCATAAAATTGGCATGCACATATATTTATATATAATATATATATATATATATATATATATAAAAGCACTTTTCAAGGGAGAGAATTTATAACTTTTTATATGTTCTTAAAAGGGACTGAAAATTCTCCAAATGATTAAGAGCACATGATTTAAATGGAGAAAAGTTTTGAAAAGATGAAAAAAGGATGACAACCACAACAAACCCCATATTTTACTGAAATCATATGCTATAACCACAATTGCCTTGGGCTCTTGTTTTAAATTCATATTTCTGGACCCCATTTCACTGAATCACTGAATAAGACTCCCTGTGACAGGGCCTATCATTATGCAATTTAAACTGTGCATGAATTCTTGTTAAGACTGAAGTTTAAAAACCACAGAATTGTTGGATGCCTTAAAGAAGGGAAAGTTTAAAGTCCATGAACAAAAAGGTGATTTCCAGAGGCCACACAAAATAATTTGAACAACTTAGTGTTATGCTATAATAATTCTTAGCTGTGAATATAATTGAGTTCTGTGATTTCTAGTCCATCATTAATCCTGGGGATGATCATAGGATCCCGACATAGCTAACTATGTTTTCTTTTCTATTACAGGTTGTAGTGTGATCCTGGGGGAAAACAAGGAAATCTGAGTGTGATTTCTATATAGCTGTTGATAACTAAACTACCTACAGGCTCAAAGCAATTTTATTAGAAATACTGAAGTCTCTTAAATCTCTTCCCTGCTACTTACACAATTCAATATGCCAAAGAAAACACAGCCTGGGACTATGTCAAACCTCTCTAAATACAAGCTACAGATAGCTGTTTGTACCCTTGGAGGAATTTCCAGTCTAAGGAAAAGTTCAAGACAAATGAGAGTATTTTGTTTACTCACATGAAGAGGAGAAAGAACAAAAGTTAAATTAGTTAAAAGGTATTTAATTAACAGAGCTACAGTTTTTCAAATCTTGCTCTGGTGATAGGGATTGGAAAGTAACAAAAGAGCAGTTAAATCTCCCTCATCTCACTTTCTCCCAGGTACCTATTTTCCTTTTCAGAGGCAAACATCTTTACTTGGTTTTTGTGCAACTTTACAGAAAACCTGTGCACATATAAGCATATATAGATACTCATGCATGCACAAGTTTGTAGGAATTCCTCATTTGGGTAGCATGGAGGAGAAAATTGGAGGCCTAAGACTGCTAACTTTATAAGGTTGGCCCTTCATTGGTATCTGGGAACTTGGATTTGAGAGTTTGTTGCATTCTGAGGTTCTAATGGGCTTTTATGGTAGAAAACACTTCACATACATTGTCACAATTTGATGCTAGAGAAATTAAGCATATCCTGCGTGATTCCATGGGTAGTGAACTTTTGGAAGCTGTTTCCGCTATGTTAATTTCACTCTGTATCCTTCTAGTATAATAATTCTTAGCTGTGAATATGGTTGAATCCAATGATTTCACTAAACCTGGGGATGACCTTGGAGGTTCCTGACACAACTAGTTATATTTCTGTTATAGGTTATAGTCTGATTCTGTGGGAATCAGAAGGTCTTTTTCGTGTTAAAAAAAAAAGAACAAACAGATTCAGTAAAACTATTTACATTAAGAACATACTTTATGGGTTTATCAGTCAGTCATAACACTTCAACAACATTATTCTGTTTTTTGTTTTTTTTTTTTTTAGACAGGGTCTCACTATGTAGTTCAGACTGCTCTGAAACTCACTGTGTGTGTAGCCCAGGCTGGTCTTGAACTTGCAGCAATCCTCTTGCCTCAGCCTCCCAAGTGCTGGGATTATAGGAGTGTGCCACCAATCCCAGCAACAATATTATTCTGTATTTCATCAATAAAACATTTTCAGGGATATTCATCATGACTACCTGTTCACTCTGGAGAGAAGATGGCTATTGATATGTGGCTGTTTGTGTGTGACATTACAAATTCTCCAGCATAATGTAATCTGGATTAGATGTCCCCTGATGCTCAAGTTATCATAAGATTTACTATCTTTTGTGGGGCTTTTCATTTTCTTTCCTGTTTTTAGATTCCCTGTTTCTTGTATCCTTTATGTTTATTATTGAGTTTATTTCCTTATTTTAGATTAATCTCTAGTAGCTTCCTGAGAGGTGTACAACAGGAAAATATTTTGAAATTTTGTACATCTGAAAATACCTTTATTCTGTGTTCCCTCTTGATTGATACTTTGATAGAATTTTAAGTAGAAATCAGTCTCTTTAGAATTTCAAATTTATGCTCCTTTGTGGGTTTTTTCCTCTGTAGGCCTTTATAATTTATTGACTTTTTATTCTGAAAACTTATCCTTTACACTTGGAGTCTTGAGAATTACCTTTTCTTCTATTTGTATTTCTCTGCTTCTCAAGCAGCCTTAAGAATTATTTCTTCCTGTTTGAACTAGTCTTCCAATTTTATCTTTTCCCTGCACATCCTCTATGTTATCTTCTGTTGAGTTTTCATTTCCACTGTTTTCTTTCTTGTTTCCAAGCACTGTTACCTCCCTTCCCCATCCACTTTTTCATTGTATCCTGTTCTGGCTTCATCTCCTACCTTTCTTGGGATGAGTTTTCACAAGTGTTTCCCCTGCATCATCAGTGTCCGCCACATTTTTTTTCTGTGTTTGGCCTTTTCCTTCTACAGTATTGGTTTCTCTTGGCTGCTGTCTAAGATTAAAAGTAAAAAATAAGTAAAAAGCGAGGAAACTGAGTGGATGGCCAGCCCTTTTGACTGAATTTCACGAGTGGTCTGGCTGCGCGGTTTATACAGAAAAAGCTGGTGGCAGTATCTTTGATGGACCTCTTGGGTTAATCAAATCCCAATTAGCATAGTGAAGAGTGTGGTGGTGGGGTTCGGCTCACAGTAGGCACAAACTCCGACTTATTTCCGTTTTAAGGTACTGCATAAGGTCCAAACACTCATCAGATAATTCAACCTCCCAACTTCAGGCTGGATGGAAGGACAGTTGCGCAGCGACGTAAAGCTGGAGAAAGGTTCTAGCCTTCCTACTTCGTCTTCTTCTCAATTTACCTCTCATATTTACTCCTTCTAGCTTCCAACTTTTTGTGTTCGTCATCTTCACGTCCTCATGGGTTTAGGTTTTTCCTCGAGATTCAGCAACTGAGGAAACTATATTGGACTCTTGTCTTCATGCCACCATTTTATCTCAGAACAGATACTCCTAGGGTAAAAAGAGTTCTGGCAACACCAACCTTGCTGCTCAGTCATCCATTCCAAAGACACCTCACTTTTCCAGTTTGGGGGCTCCCTCTACCTTCTCCTGTCCACAGAAGTATACAAAGCAGCACGACGCAGAGCCAGAGAGAGCGAACAGCTGGGGGTTGCGCAGTCAAGGACGCTTCAGGGAGTTGCCACCTGCGACCTCCCAGCGCCACCCTCTTGGCCCGGCCGAAAACCGCCCCGCCCCCGACAAGGCC